TTTTGCAGGGAGTGCGTTTTCAACGGTCCAGCCCGTTAATGTCCTTGGCCGCTATCTCCAGGGTGAACTATCCTCTGACCAGCCTTTCTGATGTCTTCTCTGGATTACTATTCCTACAGTGTTAGTGGGTACTTGTTATGGATGCGCTGGGTTGTGACCCTGCCCACCTCCAGATTCACAGGTGGAAGTTCTAACTCCAAGGACCTTGGTTGGAGGTAGGACCTTTAAAGAGGTGATGAAGGTAAAATCAGGTCATTACGGTGGACCCTGATCCCACCTGACCACGGCCTTATAAGAAGAGGGGATGAACACACAGACACGCACAGAGGGACGACCACGTGGGGACGCAGGGCGAACGTGGCATCTGCACGCTGAGGAGAGAGGCCTCAGGAGGAACCAGCCTCAGCCCCACCTGGATCTCACACTCCCAGCCTCCAGGACCAAATTGTGGGAAATTTTTTATCTTTATTTATTTTTGAGAGAGAGCCAGAGACAGAGCATGAGCAGGGGAGGAGCAGAGAGAGAGGCAGACACAGAATCTGCAACAGGCTCCAGGCTGTGAGCTGTCAGCACAGAGCCCAACATGGGGCTTGAACTCACCAACCGTGAGATCATGACCTGAGCCAAAGTAGGATGCTTAACCGACTGAGCCACCCAGGCGCCCCTTCATGTTAACATTTTGAACAGCATTGTGTACTGTGAATCCACAAGAAATAATTATCATATGCAATGTTTTCCCAACTTCTCTGGCCATAGATCCTTTTAACTCAGATAATTCTGAGAAACCTTCATTCTGATAAATATCCTTTTGGAAACATTGCCCTGCACCAAGGTCCTCTAATTAATACAAATATCCATTTATCCCCAAATACCCTCTGTTTGCATAGCACATTTTTCTAGCATCCCATTTAGTTTTGCTGTGTGGAATTAACAACCAGGAAGAGTGCTCTGAAAAGAGATCCTGCCCTGATTCTCTCCCTAGATACATCTTCCAACATAAATGAAAGAAACAAGTGCCTGTAAGCATACAATAATAGCAAAAGCAGCACCCCATATTGGTATAGTAGTGGGAAGTTTACCATGCTTTAATAAATATTCCTCGATCCCCAAAAATCTGTGGAAGAAGGCAGAACTTACTTACCTTCTTTCTTCTTTTTCTTTCTTTCTCTCTTTCTTTCCTTCTTTCCTTTTCTTTCTCTTTCTTTCTCTCTCTCCTTCCCTTCCCTTACCTCTTCCTCCCTTCCTCCCTTCCCTTTTCTTTCTTCCAACAGAGAAAAAGACACAGAAAACATGCAACAATTTTACACAGCTTCGTTGGGTATTTAAGGCCATGACTTTGGAACCCATTCCAGCGACCTAGAATACTCTGCCTAGGAAAATCCATGAACCCATCCGAATCTCAATTTCTTCATCTGTTCGGTGAGAGAATATCCCGGACACAGTTTTGCCTCTCAGGGTCCAATTGAGACTTAAGTGAGCTGATAAAAGTGAACAAGTAACACAGAGCCTGGTGTCGCAAATACTCAGCAAGCACTACGTGTTGGGTTTATCCAGTTTACGTTGACCCAGGAAAGAGTGGTAGACATGGCTCCCAAATGGTGTCTTCTGATATTCCACCTCTTCCATCTCCTGTGTTTTTCCACTGCATGCAAATCACTTTTTCAAGACTGGCTGATACGAACTGATTGCCCAGGGCTTAATCAGGGATGAGCGAACTGATAAAACTATTTTTATCCTACAAAGAAAGATCAGCACAGCAGAATTCAAATCAGCAAAACTGTGCAATTCCCCCCCACCACCTTCATGAAGAAACTTAGAACCTCAAAAACCTTTCCCCTGAAAGAGTGATGCCCACCAGTTGTCCTGGAGACACCAGCGAAATGCATTAAAGGTGTCTTAGCAAAAATTACCCGATCAACACAGAAAACACAGTTTATACTTAGCACGGTAGATTCCCCACATCTGCTTTGGGACCCTCAAAATCTAGCATTCAAATAAAGTGCGGTTCCTAAGTTTGTCTGATGGTTCGTTTGGGGCATGCATGTTTGGGTCTTGGGTAAGAGTTTCTTCTATCTTACATCTGTGCTGCCTGGGTTCATTTTCGTGGCTCCATGGTCACTTTTCGTCTTCAATGATGCATGCCTGCACATTACAAATGTGCTCCTTCTTGCCAAATTTTAAACTTAAGATCTTTCATGATGTCAAGTCATGTTCCAGAGCAAATATATATTGACAGTAGCCGCAAACCAACCGAGCAGCTAACAAACCACAACCTTATTCCAGCAGTTCAAGCCACAAACAACATTTCACATGTCAGGGTTGTTTTTTTTTTTTTTTTTTAATGTTTATTTATTTTTGAGAGACAGAGAGCATAAGCGGGGGAAGGGCAGAGAGAGAGAGACACACACACACACACAGAATCCGAAGCAGGCTCCAGGCTCTGAGCTGTCAGCACAGAGCCAGACGTGGGGCTTGAACTCAGAACCAGTGAGATCATGACCTGAGCTGAAGTCAGACGCTTAACCGACTGAGCCACCTGGTGCCCCTCACACACCAGTGTAAGACAGAGGGCGTCGACCACCCAAGGCACAGCATGAAGTTGGTCTGCATGGGGTTTTGTTGTATTCTTCACTCAAACATTTTATTTTGAAATAATCATAAATTCACATGCAGTTACAAAAAAGAGTAGAGAGAGGTTCTGTGTGCGTTGCATCCATTTTTTCCTTAATGTAACTGCTACTTTTTTATTTTTCTTTCTTCCACGCTTATTGATTCATGTAAAGGTAGCGATGATGGGGTGCCTGGGTGGCTCAGTTGGTTAAGCGTCCAGCTCTTGCTTTTGGCTCAGGTCATGATCTCACGGTTCGCGAGTTCAAGCCCCGCATTGGGCTCTGTGGTGATGGTGCAGAGCCTGCTTGTGATAGTCTATCTCCCTCTCTCTCTGCCCCTTCCCTTCCCACTCCCTCTCTCTCTTTCAACTAAATAAACTTGAAAAATAAAAAATAAAGATAGCAATGATGAGCACATTACACATTGTTAATAACAGTATTATAATGAAATTAGTACTGCCATTGTGGAGCCCCTCAACTCTTGATGATGATGGCGATGATTATGATGTATTTTGAGAGAGAGAGAGAGTGTGTGACCAGGGGAGGGACAGAGAGAGAGGGAGGCAGAGAATCCCATACAGGCTCCCCCAGGTTAGCATGCAGAGCTCAACGCGGGGCTCAATCTCATGAACTGTGAGACCATGACCTGAACTGAAATCAAGAGTCAGACGCTTAACCGACCAAGCCACCCAGGCACCTCCCCCAAACTGTCGTAAAGTGTCAGTTTATTCCACAATATGAAGGAGCAAATGAAAAACAAGATTTGGAAAGTAAATTTTATTTGACCTGACTTATAATGCCTAAGTTTGACAAAAAGTTACAAAATTTGTTCAAAATCTTAGAAGTGTTTTCAATTTTGATGGCTTTATTTCCTTGGTTTATTGCTTATTGCCTTTGCCTACAATATAAAGGGATGTTTTTTACTTTCTAGATAGTAGAGATTCTATGTCTAACCAGAATAATTTCCTGTACTTTATGTAGACTTTATTATATTCTTGACTCTATAAGAAAGAAAGAAAAAGACGGAGGTTTTCCTTTCCTCACTTTTAAATGATCTAAGATTCTTCATAATTGTGCTACTGTCCTTCTTATTATTGTAGAATGTTTCATTGATGCTAACCACTGTCTTTTAAAATGTGATTTATTGAGCATCTAAGGTTGGTTAGATGTTGATTTTAGAAGTTGAGGTCTTGTTTTTCTTAAAAACTGGGAGGTTCAACAATAGAGGACCTATATTTTTGCAGGCAGACGGGTTGTGGTTCTCTGTGATTCCCGATCAAATACACATGGAGATTTGTCAGATTTTCTGCAAAAGGTGTTCCTGTTTCTATGAGATCATTAGCCTCAGGCAGATTGCTCAGTGCAGGGGTCATGGACTCCCCAGCTCCTTGCTCCTGTTCTTTCCCTCCCCAAATTCTAGGACTGCACATCTCTGTGCTCGTCCCATTGACACTTGCACACCCGGCATCGTCTTCATGTCTGTCGTACCCTCTGACTGCAGCGGCATACGAGAATGAGACTCCAGGCTCCAGGTTACCTTGAGATAATTTAGAACAAAACTAATTTGGCCATATGTCTGAGAAGTGGAAAGATCTGTCAAGCCTGTTGGAAGAGGCTTGTAGTCCTGGCAAAAGTAAAAGCAGATCCTGAAGTCAAACGTGGGAGATGGGGCGCCTGGGTGACTCAGTCGGTTGAGCGGCAGACTTCGGCTCAGGTCGTGATCTCGCGAGATCTCATGTGATCTCGCGTGAGTTCGAGACCCGCGACGGGCTCTGTGCCGACAGCTCGGAGCCTGGAGCCTGCTTCGCATTCTGTGTCTCCCTCTCTCTCTGCCCCTCCCCTGCTCGTGCTTGCTCTCTGTTTCCCTCAAAAACAAATACACATTAAAACAAAATCATAGGGGCGCCTGGGTGGCTCAGTCGGTTGAGCGTCCGACTTCGGCTCAGGTCGTGATCTCGCGAGATCTCGTGTGATCTCGCGTGAGTTCGAGCCCCGCGTCGGGCTCTGTGCTGATGGCTCGGAGCCCGGAGCCTGCTTCTGATTCTGTGCCTCCCTCTCTCTCTGCCCCTCCCCCACTCATGCTCTGTCTCTGTGTCAAAAACAAACGTTAAAAAAATTTCTTTTTCCGAAAAAGTAGGAGAAAATGATGAAGGCATCATGGCTTACGCAATCAATCAGAAGCCAGTAGGAATAATCCTTAGGGACGAAGACAGAATGGCACAGCAGAGAAAAAGTCCTGGTTTTGTGTCATCGACAAACATGAGAAAGTGAAGGAAGATCATTGAAGGTTTTTTGGAACTCCCAGTATATAGACCAGATCTATAGACCAGATCCGTGTGTGGGGGCGTCCACCTGGGCTCAGGTTGGTCTATGTTCTGTTCATTCCACAGGTTGTGGACTCTTCAGGACCTGCTCAGTAACACAACAGTGTTCCTGTAGCCAGTTTGCAGCTACACATACTGAGGCTGTCTCTACAGAAGTTCCCGGAAGGAGTCCAGACGGACGAGCGCTAACCTGCCTCAGTGGTAAGCAAACATGGATGACATTAGCATGGCTTGGGTGTGGGCTAAGATAGAATATTTGTCATCATGAGGGACGTGGCTGCCTGGGTGTCCTGTTTTCAGGATGGACTCCTGTGCTTTTCTGATGGAGATGACATTGGGCACAGCAAGCTTACGTTTCCCTGGGTCACTGTGCGTTCATCAATCACACGTGTACGACCAGCCAACTCATTAAGAGCCTTCCCCAGTGTGTCCCTGTTTCGAATGGCTCAGGACACCCTTTTTCAGTCCCTAATGCTGGGGGGACTCATGCCCGTCACCTGGAATCAGCAAGACTCTAGTTTTTATATATGTCCGCATGTGTCGGGGACACTTCCCTATTGCGTTTCCTTCCTTTGGCTATATCAGTATCCCATCTCAGGGAACTGCCTGCCTCACCTATGCTGGGCCCGCTGCGCTGTCTAGCAGGGATGCATTTGTGTGTGTGTGATTTTCTGGCACCACAGAGAAGTTCTTTGTGTAATGCAGTTAGACTGCTCTCATTCACGGTTACTCATAGTCTTGGTTTTGTGGGTGCTGCTGTTGAGGGGTGCGTGCTGTCCAACCTATCCCTTCAATGGTAAGGTGAGACTAAACACATTAATCTCCATCTTACCATATTTAACCTCTTTTGAGGCTTTGCTCAGTGTTTTTAAGGACTTACAGTATGTTCCTTGTGGGGCTCAATTTGGCAAAATGCTGAGGCTCTTGGAACTTTAAAGACATCATCTCTTGTTTCTGTTGACAGATAATCTTAGATCATGCAAGATTTAATTCAATTGGGCATGTTAAAAAAAAGTGATAATATTCTCAAAATAGAAACAGACTAAATATCAATCCTAAATAAAGAAGAAAGGCGTAAAGTAAAATGTTTTCCCCGACGTAGATGTTTATATTTGTAATTGAAAAATTAATCTGTCTTCAGATTACCCAAGGGAATTACAAGAAGCTTAGCTACTTTAAATAACCATCATTTTATAAAGTGCTCTGAAGTAATTATAAATACATAGTAGTAGTAATCAATCTTTCTAAACTTTTGTTAAGTTACTTGGATTCTAGCTCTTTAATTAATAGACTTGTTCTTCAAAGGTTGAAGATAGAGAAAGATGTAGCCCTACATTCATAATTACTTCCACTTATTTTCTTGTTTCTAATTTACTTTTATTTTATTGTTTATTTTTTCTCAATGTTTCTTTATTTTTGAGAGAGAGAGGGAGACAATGCACAAGGGCGGGGGTGGGGGGATGTTGCAGAGAGAGGGAGACAATCCCAAGCAGAGCCCGATGCAGGGCTTGAACTCACAAACTTTGAGATCATGACCTGAGCCAAAATCAAGAGTCAGATGCTTAACCTGACTGAGCCACCCAGGTGTCCTGTTTCTAATTTACTTTTAGAACTCAACATTTTCTATTATGTAAGAAGTCTATTTTGGTCCATTCCTTTGTTTTTGTTTTTGTTTTTGTTTTTGTTTTTATCGTAGTGGCAGAAAACTTTTAAACTTTTAATTTACCTCCTTTTATAAATCTGGATTGGGGAGACTTACTATGTGTAATAATTATTTCTAGAAAGAACATAGATGACTTCTCTAGGTTCTTTTATTTAACACCAAGTAAATATCAAATAATTATAGCAAATCTAGTAATCGTAGGTAAATCCCATTCCTAAAATTTGATTACTTTGTGAATGTTTGAGAAAAATGAGTGATCATATTTTCAAGAATAATCCACTTATTATTATATTTGTGTATTAGTTTTTCAGTCAATTCACATTTCTTTTTTTTTTTTTTTAATTTTTTTTTTCAACGTTTATTTATTTTTGGGACAGAGAGAAACAGAGCATGAACGGGGGAGGGGCAGAGAGAGAGGGAGACACAGAATCGGAAACAGGCTCCAGGCTCCGAGCCATCAGCCCAGAGCCCGACGCGGGGCTCGAACTCACAGACCGCGAGATCGTGACCTGGCTGAAGTCGGACGCCTAACCAACTGCGCCACCCAGGCGCCCCATCAATTCACATTTCTTAATTTCCATGTTTTCCTACAAAATATCTTAAACTGTCTTAATATAAAAATATATACAGGGGCGCCTGGGTGGCGCAGTCGGTTGGGCGTCCGACTTCAACCAGGTCACGATCTCGCGGTCAGTGAGTTCGAGCCCCGCGTTGGGCTCTGGGCTGATGGCTCGGAGCCTGGAGCCTGTTTCCGATTCTGTGTCTCCCTCTCTCTCTGCCCCTCCCCCGTTCATGCTCTGTCTCTCTCTGTCCCAAAAATAAATAAACATTGAAAAAAAAATAAAAAAATAAAATAAAAAAAATATATATATATACAGAGGAAATTTTGAAGACCAATTGATCTCAGTGTAAAATATTATATGTACTTATTTATGTACTTTTGTTCTGTATATTTTCAAAATGATCTGCAACTTTGGGCTTTCACTACATTGTGGTGGTTAGTTTCATCCCAGGATAGATGTATTTTGGGAGGAGTCTACTTATCCAGAATTTACTCTGTTCTGCATTGCAGTTTAAAATCAAGTTGGGGTCTATCTAATTCCACTGCACTGGAAATTTGTGTGCAAAAATTTGTATGCAATGTTTTTAGAGCCCAGTTGTGCATTTTCTTGAAATAATGTCCTTTGGCCCTGTCACTAAAACCTTTTTGCTTGCGTGACCTACATAACAAGGACCTGGGTCACTACCCACAGCTGGTTTTGGTCTCTTTTCTCTCTCTTTTTTTTTTAATAAGACAAGGACCAGATAAGACCACGATTAATTCACTGTTCCCTTGACTAGTACAGCTTGTGCATATCTTAGATATCGTGCTTTAGAATTGTGAACGACTGCATTTCTGTATGGTTTGCAATAATTAGCGAGCTTACCAAACTCAGTCTGCATGTGGAGTCCCTGTACGCATCATCCTGACAAGGGGGATTGTTTCTCTTGTATTGAACACAAGCTAAGAGGCTCCCTGGTGATGGACGGTCAAACCTGACTTTACGCGTAATGAAAAAAATACAGAGCCTAGGCTAAAGCAATGAGAAGCTGACTCATGAAAGGACATTGCAAAGCATGACTAGTGGTAGCATTTTAAATTGGGGCTGAGTTAGCAAGACTGATGGCAGTCAATGCCATATCTTTTCTTGCTTCAACATTTCACATCATGGCTCTGATGGTTTACCTGGAAATTATATTTTCTGGAGCGTCACAAGAGAAAATCCACACCCACACTGAAAGGATAGAAAGCATTTATGAAAGATGGTTGAGGAGTGTGTGTCACATGAAGTGAGCATAGGTTGGCAAAAGGGTAAAAACTATTGAAAGATGCCAGCTTCTGTGAAGTATGACACTAGAGGCTCCCGTAGGTTTCTGACAGATTCCATAGTAATTCTATTTGTTGGTATATTTATAAATGATCTATCCAGGCTTGTTTCGTTTTACCAGCTTCACGGTAATAGCAGCAGCAGCATATTCCTGAGGTGAAACGTGTTTACAAGGAGGTTATGCATCACGCATTTGGAGATATTACGTGGGATGCTTGTAGGACCCGTCAGAGCCAACCTTGGCTGCTGGGATTTTTGCGTCCTTGGGGGTCACCCCTTCACAGCTGAGGTTTTGCTACAAATATTAATGCTTCAACTGATTTCCCTTCTGCAGAAGGGCATGTTACAGTACATATCCTCGAAGTAGATTTAGAGAATAACAAATGTGCAGATGGGGGTCTAGCTCCCCAGTGAGGGTGGCTATTGAAAGCGTGGTTCTGCCTAGACGGTCTTTGGGAAAGAATACCACTTATACTGAGCAATACAGAATGGGGGAGACAAAACTTATATATCTTCCTTCTGTGGTGCTAAAGAAAGAGTACGTCTGTAGTGTGTGAGGTAGGGATTCACCGTGGCGAGGGTTGGAGCCACACAGAAATGGGGACCATGACCCCTAAGGCAGGCAAAGAATATATTTTAATTTCTGGGTGGATGAACATTTCTACCCACACACCAGTTCTCGAATGTGCTTCTAGTTGCCCTGAGTATCTGAGTGCCATAACACCCATAAAATGACATACTCATTTTATTATAGCAGAATGATCATATCTGAGTCATGGACACTATATTCTTTTTGACAAGAAACAAAATAATGAGTCAAAACTCATATGATATTTGAGAGAATGAATCCTAGGCATGAGGGTGTCAACTCTGTAGAAATAAAGACACAGTTGATCACTGAATGTTTATGGAATTAAGCAATGAATGTCAGAGAATGGAAAAACTTGCAAATAGATGGGTTACTTTTTTTTTTTAATGTTTATTCAGATTTGAGAGAGAGAGAGAGGACAGAGACAGAGTGTGACTTGGGGGTGGGGGGAGGGCAGAGAGAGGAGACACAGAATCAGAAGCAGGCTCTAGGCTCTGAGCTGTCAGCACAGAGCCTGACATGGGGCTTGAACCCACAAACCATGAGATCATGACCTGAGCTGAAGTCGTCCACTTAACCGAATGAGCCACCCAGGCACCCCACAAATAGATGGGTTTAGAAGAAAGGGAATCATTTTGGGAGGTTATACGGTAAATGACTTTAGACAAGCATATCAGAGGGTGACAGTGGCCTCCAGCTGGTTGCCTAAGGAAAGTAACTAAGAATCCATGCAAATGAAGACTTTCCACAGCAGGAGAAATGAATCTTCCCACCAGGGTAAACAATCAATAGTTTGAAAAAGAATTCTATTGCATTCTCACCTTGAACTTGACGTTTGATGGCTAAATTTGCTGCTTATTTCCAAGTCCCTCAAAACAGTTGCCAGACATGAGGTTTGTAAGATGAATCCCGTATTGTAGAAACATGCATAAAAGAATAAAATAGATATACAAGAAGATTTGCTGTATCTGAGCGGTCAGCACCCACATCATGTGCCCAGGATAGTGAGATGGAGTTTTACATGCAGACAGACAGGATCGTATCCCTCCCATCTAGCAAGGTGGGGAAAACAACATGTGGG